TCCCCCAAAGCCAACAGCCAATCGTAGGCAGCAGAGATATCCCCCAAAGCCAACAGCCAATCGTAGGCAGCAGAGATATCCCCCAAAGCCAACAGCCAAAGGCAGCAGAGATATCCCCCAAAGCCAACAGCCAATCGTAGGCAGCAGAGATATCCCCCAAAGCCAACACCCAATCGTAATCAGCAGAGATATCCCCCAAAGCCAACAGCCAATCGTAGGCAGCAGAGATATCTCCCAAAGCCAACACCCAATCGTAGGCAGCAGAGATATCTCCCAAAGCCAACACCCAATCGTAGGCAGCAGAGATATCTCCCAAAGCCAACACCCAATCGTAGGCAGCAGAGATATCTCCCAAAGCCAACAGCTAATCATAGGCAGCAGAGATATCCCTCAAAGCCAACAGCCAATCATAGGCAGCTGAGATATCCCCCAAAGCCAACAGCCAATCCTAGGCAGCAGAGACATCCCCCAAAGCCAACAGCCAATCCTAGGCAGCAGAGACATCCCCCACCCCACAGCGGCACTTCTACACACCCCTTGTGCATGTGCCGCCACAGGATGGGGAATGCCTCTGCTGCCCATGATTGCCTTCCCAGTGGGATAGCTCAGCCAGGTTTAGACTCGTATCCAAACACACCAGCGCTCATCTCTAATGCCCCTTTTCACACAGGTCTTCCGTCTGTCCGTTTTTTCATCCGTTTACATACATCTGTTTTTTGTCCATTTCCGTTCTGGCGTGTGTTTTTTTTTTTTTTGTTTTTTTTTTTAAACGGAACAAGCCTGTATTCTTATTCCATTTGAAATAAATAGAAGCAGATGAAAAATGGATGTAAATATAACGGAACTAAACGGAAGACGGATGTCTACTGATGTAAACTGAATCCCTTTTTAGAAACATGACTGAACGGCTGACATCTTTGTGAAAGGGGCTTCATGCTGACGGGCCAAACTGCCAGTGTGCCTGAGCCCTGCTGTGGCTAGACTGTGTGTTGTAAGACTGTCATTTGGGCAGAGTAGTTTATACCGTTGGGGTCGGTTCACACTATAGAAACGCAGTCCAGATGCGTTCCGGATGCATTTCCGCATGCGCGTTTTTGATGTGTTCCAGTGCATTTGTGATGCCCTTCTGACATGTTCCAGTGCGTTTTTTCTGCATTCAAGTTAATTTTTTTCCCCTTTCATTTTCTTCAATTTAAATAGGGACATGTGCATTCCAGTGCGATTTGTATGTGTTTTACTGCATCCCAGTACAGTTCTGTGCAGAAAAAATGACGCTGACAACCATATAACCTACTTTCTGTGCGTTTTGGATCCAGAAAAAAAGTAACCAAAACGCATGTTGTGTGACCTGGCCCTTAGGGTAGTTTCACATCTATGCACGTTGCGGTTGATGTGTTTTTCCGGCCCATTTTGCATTTTTGAACACATTTTTTATGCATTTTACATCTTGCTTTTTTTTTTTGGATAATAGGAAAGTATGACCGTTCTGTTCATGTAGTGCGACTTTGATGCAACATTAAACACTCTGGCACTCAAGTAGCATCAAAGTAGTCTCACTACATGAACAGAACTGTCACACTTTCCTATTAGACGAAAAAAAAGCAAAATGCATTAAAAATGCAACACTTGCCTTTTTGGCATGGGTCCATTGAAGTCTTTTACATCTCAATCTGCTGTGGGAAAAAGACGTCCCTGACCCTTTCCAAAAAACGCACTGGCTCAAAACGCACAGACGTGAACTAGATCAACCTTATTCAACCAGGGTGCCCTGAGGATTCTTCCGGGGTGCCTTGGCAAAATAACTAGATTGCTGAAAAATTGTATACAAGCCAGGAAGTGGATCAAACCTGCCTTTTAGTTACAAAAAGCTGCAAGCTTTCATTGTGCTCAGTTACAACTTTCTAGCCACCAGTGTCCTAACAACCAATGAAGTCATCGGTTGATAAGTCAATATACTGGGCGCCTGCACAGCATCTTTGTCTGCCCTCTCCATCAGCATTGGGGTCACATTAGCTGAGAGATAGAGAAACTGAGGGGGAAGAAAAACTCAGGTGTACTAGTCAGTACCAGCGTGCAAAGGTGTATTTACTTTGGAAGCATAAACCACCTTGAGATTGTGCATACTTCCAAAGGGTGCCTTGACTGAAAAAAGATTTAGAAAAGCTGAACTAGATGCATAGGAAACCATGTTAAATGGACGGTACTGCGTTTATGCAAAATGCACTAAAGAACGCATAGGTGTGAACCCAGGCTTAAGCAAAATCAAACCCTTCTATGCGCTGGGGCCGTCCCATCTTAATCTCTATTTAGAAGTTTCCAGGAGGCTGCACAGGTGACTGACTGACACTGGCCCTTTGAGAGCTTAGAAGACAGGTAAAGAGCTGACACAAGTACATTGACAATTTAAATGTAACATGCTCTGTGCATGCCCTAGAAAGCAGAATATGAATACAAACACAGCAGAAATCTACATTGGCATATCTGATTAACCACGTGCCCTCCTGAGGATTTACCCTCCTTCCTGACCAGGCCATTTTTTGCGTTACAGCGCTGCGTTACTTTAACTGACAATTGCGTGGTCATGCAACACTGCACCCAAATGAAATTTAAGTCCTTTTTTCCCACAAATTGAGCTTTCTTTCAGTGGTATTTGATTGCCTGTGCGTTTTTTTAATTTTTTGCACTATTAAAGAAAAAAGACAATTTTAAGAAAAAAAACTATATTTTTGACTTTTTGCTATTAAACATGTCCAGTAAAAAAATTTAAAAAATCAAATTTTGTCATAAATTTAGGCCAAAATGTATTCTGCGACATGTCTAAAAAAAATCCCAAAACGTGTAATTTAATTGGTTTACATGAAAGTTATAGTGTTTACAAATGGCGGTATATATACTGGAATTTTTATTTTTACTAGTAATGGCGGTGATTAGATACTTATAGCGGGACTGCGGCGGGCATTCTGACACTGGGGGGAACAGACTTGGTGTCAATGACAACCTCAGTGACACCAATACAGTGATCAGTGCTAAAAAAAAAAGCACTGATACTGTACTAATGGCACTGGTCAGGAATGAGGGGCGATCAAAGGGTTAACTGTGTGTACAGGGAGTGTTTTACTGGGGGGTGGTGTATTTGTGCTTCGCTGTAATCACACTGCTGTGGATGGCTGTGCTGTGTGCTGCCAGTCCAATCAAAATGGGGGGCTCTTGTAAAGAATATGTAAACCTTCTGGTGAAACAACCCATTCAGTTTAAAATAGGAATGAAAGGCAAAGCATTTATGTATAGATTTATAAATCCCTTTTATTTTCTCTCCTTTATGTGATCACATTCCTTCTGTTCTCAGCTGCATAAGTAGCTGGGGGGGACAGCAGTACACTGGTCTTCACAGTGAATGGCTGTGCAAAGGGAGGGCATATCAGCACAAACCTGATTGTTATATTAGCTCCTGGCACAGGCAGAAAACTGACCATGCTGTGCTCTCATGCCTTGTGTGGTCAGGAGGGACTGACAAGAACACCAGGGATTTCACACAAAGGAAGCAATACAAAGAGAACGGTACTTTTTCATACAGGTACATAGTACAGCAGGCACAGATCAGGAATGTGAAATGTTGGGTTTCCATACTCTTCAATGCAGAGCACCTCACCACAAGCAGTGATATAATGCAATGCATAGTATGAATGGGGTGATTGCTTTTTTTCACATTCCTTTCTGTGGGACTGGCACATGGGGGATCAGTGTGCCACGGGGGGGGGGGGGGGGGGGGCACAGTCTTGTGTTACATGTCTCCTGTCATTGTGATTCAGTTTCATCTCATCCAAGTACTAAGTGACTTTATTATTTGTGTAAAATGTGTGTGCCATTGTAGGCTGTTAAAGACTGGCAACATGGATGCTGACATTTTGAATCATTTTTCCGGCATTTTGCTTTTAGGCTCCATGCACACGCTCGTTTTTTTTTTTTTTTTTTTTTTTTTTTTTAACGAAAAAAAAAATGCTGGAAAAAACACTGGATAAAAAACACTGGTAATAGCGTTTTTAGGAGCGTTAGCACTTTATTAGCGCTTTTACAGTACATGTAGGGGAAAAAAGAGCTAGTAAAAAGCTGTTAGGAGTGTTTTTAAGAGCGTTTAGCGATCTTTTTTTTTTTATTTTTTTTTTTCTGCTGGAAAAACGCTCCCAAAAACTCTACAACATTTTTTTTTTTTTTTCTGCTCTTAAACGCTGAAGCTTGAAAAACACTATTAGCCTAAAATAGTGTGCATGCACACATAGGATAACACTATTTAGCCTCTAGGAGCAGAAAAAAATACCGATAACAGCTTCTAGGAGCTGAAAAAAAAATGCTAGTATGCATGGATCCTTAAAGCGATTCAATGAAGACAAATATGAGGGAGGACAGGTCCACCTACAGCATTGCTGCTAGAGTGTTTTCTTCCCTCCTCCTGAATGCAGCATATTGTGTGTACTTTATATGGGTGTCAGTTTACAGGAAAATGTTGTCATAAAACAAATGATCACTTAGGCTACGTTCACACTGATCCGTCGCAAAAATGCCTCAAAAACGCATAGGCGTTTTGGCTTGTCTTTGTCTGGCCTTTGAGGCACTATTCCTGCTATTGGAACCAATGAAGACGCACGCCCACAGTGGGGCAATACTTCTCCTACTGATACCAATGATGGGGCATCATTCCTCCCACTGACACCAATAATGGTGCTCTGTTCCGGCCACTAATACCAATGATGGGATATTATACCTTCTCTTAGTAACCACATTTTTAAAAATCCCACTGACCACCAAGCCTGAGATATTGTGGATTCGATGCTGGAGCATTTTCTACTCCCATTGGCCACAGACCGGCCCTCCTAGAGTCTGAAAGGCAGGAAAGTGTCCCTTTGTTTAGGAAGTTTGAAGACCCTTGCACAAAGTGTAACACATTTCTTTTGTGAATTGGAAATCTATGTCGTAATGTGTTTTCATCTATTTTGCAGTGGAAGATGGCCATGACCCAAAGTCACCAGAGGTTCCTCCAGGTGTTAGTGTCCCATGGCATATTGGAAGCATCTGTTGCAAGAAAGTTGCATAAACATTGCTGCGAGGTTCATGAAGGTTCGTGTGTAATCAATAACAGGATTTTGATGTAATTGTCTATGTTTTTTTTTTAAACTTTGTACACAAATCACAAAATTGAAGTGAGCACACGACAAAAGGTTTGAACTTTGTAGATTATTTAACACCTTACAATGAGGAGTGTCCCGCCTGGCTGTGAATGTGCTATAGGCCAGACAGGGCACTCCTTGTGACTGTGCGTCATGTGACGTCCTGACAAAAACAGCTGTTCACGGGGCCACTCAGCGGCGCAATTTGTCACCGGCTGTGTCCACGGGACACAGCCGATGACATATCACTACTCCGGCCCATTGCCAGTATCATGTGACCTTTGTGACCAATCACAGCAGATCACATGTCAATTGTATACAATGGATGGCTTCCTGTCATGCCATTCATTGTATACAATTGTGTTGTTAGCTGTGATTGATCAAAGATCATGGTACAGACAGGGCCAATCACAGCCCATCGGTATCATGTGATGAGCTTTGCCCAATCACAGCTAATCAAAACAAAAGACTGAAGGAATCCGTTTCATTCAGTAACAATGATTGCAAATATCAATGAAATACATTGGTATTAGCAATCGTGTAAAAAAAAAAAAAATAAAATAAAATAAAAAATCCTTATCACTTGCCCAGAGTAGTTCAGTGTTACTATGGTAACATTGTATTGCTTTGGGCACAGTGTGTTGAAAAAAAAAAAAAATAGTAGAAAAAAGAATGTAATAAAAAAATAGAAAAATTTGAAAGAAAAAAAAAAATTACATTATTATTTTAATTTTCTTTTACATACTGTCACCAGTCAATGTCCCTGATCACCGCCACACCAGTTATATAATCACGCTGTACTAGACTGGTGACAATATGTGGGGAAAAAAAAATTTTAATTTTCTTTTTTTTTTTTTTTTTTTTTTTTTTTTTTTTAAATTTCTACATTTTGCTAAATATTTTAACAAAAAATGACAACCTCCAAAAAGCTCACCATGCCTCTTACCAAAAACCTTGGACTATTTTCCAAAAATGGGTAATTTGGGGGTATTTGTACTATGCTAGCGGTTTTGGGCCTCAATAAATGATAGATCAATTGTCAGATGTATAAACATGGTTTGTGGACTCTATAACTTTCCTACACACTAAATAATATACACTAATTTGGGGTATTTTCACCAAAGAAATGTAGCAGCATTTTGACCTAAATTTATGAAGAAATGTTATTTATTTGCAAAATTTTATAACAAAACTAAAAAAAAAAAAAACTTTTGAAAAAAATTTTTTTAGTTTCGCAAAAAAATTAAAAAAACAGTGGTAATTAAATACCACCAAAAGAAAACTCGATTTGTGTGAAAAAAAATAACATTTTTTTATGGGTACAGTGTTGCATGACCGCTCAGTTGTCATTCAAAGTGCAACAACACTGAAACCTGAAAATTGGCCTGGGCAGGAGGGAGCTAAAAGTGCTAGGTATTGAAGTGATTAAAGGAGTGCTACTGTCTCACGTAAAATAGCTGCATATGTTTTAAGTTTCTTTATGTCAAAACATGCCCATGTTTTATATCTCCGTAAAGAGAAGCATTCCTTGGCTCACAAACCTGAAGTGTACACAACACCTGCAAATCCAGAAAATCTACCATTTCTGGAGGGCCAGATCTGCTGTTTTTGTGGTCCTGTTTTAGCTACCATTTGCTATCCATTTTACATGCCCTTGCCAATCTGTATTACCATATCCTTGATCTCTAAGGCACTTGAGGAATACAGCTTGGTCAAGGTCTCTGATTTGACATCCTGCTGATTTGACAATGAGGAAGTAGCAGTACACTATCATAATATATATAACAAGTTGCCTGTAAATTGCCGCAGAACATGTCATCCCAAGTAAGATCTATTTCCAAAGCTGATGATTTGACATCCTGGGCCTTCAGTAGTGTATTTGTCAGAAAGCAAAGCTGGTCTATAACCCCTTCATGACAAACATAAAACAAATCTTAACAACTGAGCCCAGTTTTGCAGCTTTGACATGTGTTACTAAAACTGTACATATCACCACAACTACTTGGTGTATCCAGCTGAATTATACCATGTCTTTTTCAGAATAAATTGGGCCTTCGGTTGGTGGTAAATGGTACTAGATTCCTCTTGTATTTTTTTTAATATCAATGGAAATCTGTTCCAAAGTAGTAAAAAAAATTTTTTTTGAAGTCTATCTGTATATTTCTTGCCAATACAATGATCTACCACCAAAGAACTACCCACAACAAATTCTTCTACTCCTGGGAATCACTGCATTACAACATATGTTTGTTATTTTTTTTTTGCGTACCTGTGGTAAATCCCAGAAAAAATAGTGCAGACTTCACTTTTTTATCCTACATTAAACACACTGATACTAAGTTAAAAAAATGTAATCCTACCTAAAACACACTGACTCTAAAAAATGGCATTTGATCCTAACCCTGACCTAGATCAAACCCTATTCTAGAGTATTTATCTTTATTTTGTATTTATGTTTATACACATTTTTTTGTTTACATGCTTCTCCTGTGTTCTTTCTTTTCTTGAATGGAGAAAAAGATACAATATATCTTTTTCTCCATTCAAGAGGTGAAAGAACACAGGGGCAAGATGTACAGTTACTGATCTCTGATAGCCATCCATATCCTATGGAAGCAATAAAGTGATTGACAGCAGTCTTGCCACCTCCCGATCATAAGTACAAGACCAGAAGCTGTTGGTGACAGCTCAGTCTCTGTGCTGAGAGTGCACTCCGCAATGTGCTCTTAGCACAAACACACATACCCACATACGTGACTCTCTACAAAAGAAGACCCAATTCAGTGAGGCCTTATATGTGTGTTTGCTAATCAGGAAGGATTTAAAGAATGCTAATCAAAGCTTCCAGTTGTAAACATGTTTACTTAGGTCTGCTTTTTGCTTGAAAGTAAATTCTTGGGCTTTAGCAGGAAGTAAAATCTATGTCTAAAAACCTCCACCTTTTAGGCAACAAACTAGCCATTACACACCTTTAATTCTTTCCAGCAGAGATCTCTTCTCCATCAACAATTAGATTCTTATACTGTAGAGGGGTAATTTGTAAATCACATTCTTTTGTGTGCTCTTATGCAGATTCATATATTAATTTCTGCATTAAATGGTATTAAGCCCAAAAGCAAACATTTATTATATTGAGGCTTACCAGTTCTTACATGTAATCATTTTCTTTTTTTGGGCTTTCCTTCCTACCTGGTGACCAAGTTAGTAAGTCTGTTGTTTTTCAACAGAACAACAGTCATGCAGCTGTAGCAGTTACAGAGTTGATACAAACCATTTACAACTGACAGAGATGCTTACAATGATCAGCTTTTATTTTTTCACAAAACCTTTTTTTTTTTTCATAAAACCTTTATCCCAAAAAGGAGAAAAAACAGTTTCTGTAACTGCGGTGTGAACTGAAGTTTGGCTTCAGTTTGTTAGTGTATCCAAATCCTCTAGTACATTTCCCACTCCCCTCCCCCCCAGACTGACAATATTGCTGTCCAGATGTGACCCCTGTGCTCCTTCTCCCACAGTGTAGGCACCCTAATAAAGGAGGTATGTTACTAGCCAGATCACCAGGTAAAAACGGAAGGGTGGAAAGCCTAAAAAAAGAAAACTAATGCAGCCACGTTATCTGAGGATTGGATAAACTGTAATCTATTAGTACAGGAATTACTGCTAGCAGGCAGCAAGGTACCATAGGACTATATAGCCCTTAGAATTTGACAGTAAACCAAGGGAATGAGCAGAGGAGAAGCTGCATCGCATTTTTTCAGTAAGCTTATATTAGATCGTCAAAATAACTGTTGTTTGTACATGGCTCATAAAAATTAAAGGAACACATTGAAAACACATCAGATCTCAATGGAGAAAAATCTCATGCTGGATATCTATACTGATATGGACTGGGTAATGTGTTAGGAATGTAAGGATGCCCCATAGTTTAATGGAAATGAAAATTATCAACCTACAGAGGACTGAATTCAAAGACACCCCGCAAATCAAAGTGAAAAAATGATGCAGCAAGCTAGTTCATTTTGCTTAAAATTCATTGCAGCAACTCGAAATGGAATTCAGCAGTTTGTATGGCCCCCACGTGCTTGTATGCCTGACAATGTCGGGAAATACTCCTAATGAGACAACGGATGGTGTCCTGGGGTATTCCTCCCAGATCTGGACCAGGGCATCACTGAGCTCCTGGATAGTCTGAGGTGCAACTTGGCGGCGTCGGATGGACCGAAACATGATATCCCGGAGGTGTTCTATTGGATTTAGGTCAGGCGAGCGTGGGGGCCTCTCAATGATATCCTCCAGGAACTGCCTGCATACTCTCACCACAAGAGGTTGGGCATTGTCATGCACCAGGAGGAACCCAGGACCCACTGCACCAACGTAGGGTCTGACAATGGGTCCAAGGATTTAATACTACCTAATGACAGTCAGGGTGCCATTGTCTAGCCTGTAGAGGTCTGTGCATCCCTCCATGGATATGCTTCCTCAGACCATCACTGACCCACCACCAAAACAATCATGCTGAATGATGTTACAGGTAGCATAATGTTCTCCATGGCTTCTCCAGACCCTTTCACGTCTGTCACATGTGCTCAGGGTAAACCTGCTCTCATCTGTGAAAAGCACAGGGTGCCAGTGGAGGACCTGCCAATTCTGGTGTTCAATGGCAAATGCCAATCGAGCTCTATGGTGCCAGGCAGTGAGCACAGGGCCCGCTAGAGGACGTTGGGCCCTCAGACCACCTCATGAAGTCTGTTTCTGATTGTTTGGTCAGAGACATCATTCCCACCAGTGGCCTGCTGGAGGTCATTTTGTAGGGCTCTGGCAGTGCTTATCTTGTTCCTCCTTGCACAAAGGAGCAGATACCTGTCCTCCTGATGGGTTAAGAATGTTCTACGACCCTGTCCAGCTCTCCTAGAGTAACTGCCTGTCTCCTGGAATCTCCTCCATACTCTTGAGACTGCTTGGAAACACAGCAAGCCTTCTGGCAATGGCACGTATTGATGTGCCATCCTGGAGGAGTTGGACTGTCTGTGCAACCTTTGTAGGGTCCCGGTATCACCTCATGCTACCATTAGTGACACTGACCCTAGGCAAATGCAAAACTAGTGAGAAAAGATGAGTAGGGAAAAAATGTCAGTGGCCTCCACATGTAAAACCATTCCTGTTTTGAGGGTTGTCTCATTGTTGCCCATCTAGTGCACCTGTTGTTAATTTCATTAAACACCAAAGCAGCTGAAAGGGATTGACAACCCCCTCTGCTACTTACCTGACCAGATCATTATCCCAGGAGTTTAACTGACTTCATGCTATACTCATTTTTTGAGCAGTGTATTTAGATTACAATGCAGATGTTATAAAAGGAAAGTGTGTGCTGTGATTATGGAACTCCTTTAAGGTCTTCTTGCAGTTTGGTACATTTGCAAACACGGCACCTTGTACTTAGACTTTTGATGGATAATGCATATTTCTTGTTTTTCAGTCCACTATATTCATGACAAGCTAGATGATTTTGTTTCTGTCATCAACAAACATTTGCAGCCTGTGTTCATGCAGATTAGAAAAGGAACTGATGAAAATGATGGAAAAAAATACTTTGCTCTGGTATGTAAAAACAATCCATTGGTCTTGGCAACCTTTTTCACAGGATGTGAATGTTACAACCTGAAGGGTTACCATGAGTAAAACCTCTGTTATTGTTCCAAATGTTTTTGCCTTGGGTCTGATAAATTATCCTAAAGTCTGAGTAGACGTTAAGTATGGTAATAGAACAGGTAAGTATGAAGATGGAGTAAAGGGAAATGGAAATGTTATCCATTTCAGCCAGTTGGTTTTTATTTCCTATCCTGTGCAAAAAAGGTTACCGCTGCAGTGTTATTCTGTTGCATAAAAGCTGTTTCTTCTTTTCACTTATAACAAGACCGTGTTTGAGTTTGAAGCCATGGGCTTACACAACCTGTAGCTTTAGGGCCCATTTACAGCGCAGTGACTGGAGATTTTTCACAATGGACAAATGCCAGTCACTACTAGGGCTCCTAGAAAACAATTGTTTTCTATGTACCCCATTTGCACTAATGCAGCCTGGAGGTGCAGTTCAGAGCTGTGATAAAATGCAGACATACTGCATTTTATTATGCTGCACATTGTAGGCATTGTGATGTTGATTTATTAAAGGCAAATAGATTGTGCACTTTGTAAAGTGCAGTTGTGCTTTGCAAGTGCAGTTGCTCCAGAGTTTAGTAAATGAGATAAAGGTTCACTTTGCAAAGAATACCCAATCACATTCAAGGGAAATAAAAAAAAAATGCATTTTTGCTTGCACATGATTGGATGATGGAAGTCAGTAGAGCTTATGCTCATTTACCTACTCTGGGGCAACTGCACTTCGCAAAGTGCACCGTCTATTTGCCTTTAGTAAATCAACCCCAGTGTGTCACCACAGAGCAGCACGACAGTCAATGCTGCTGTGCAGTGATAGGAATGAAGTATTGTGACTTTGTGCACTTCAAATAATGTTGACAGAAAAGAAGAATCTGTGTGATGCAATGAAATGCACATCACACCACCCCTCACCGTGGCTCTCTGCAGCCAAAGCTGACAGCTGCCTGCACACTAAACTGTTCCAGTTTAGTGTACAGGCAGAGTGAATGGGCCTTCACCCGTAATTTGCTGAATGGGGCAGACTGCACCATTGTTATCTGCTTTAGCTTCAGATCAATATCTAGGTTTATCAAGATTACTTGGTAATGTTCAGTTGAATTCAATTATGTGGAAGTGCCATTGTATTATTAGTTTTGGCTGCTCCCAAGGATTAAGATGTAGGCATCTGCTTCCCCGCTGTCTCCACCACCTTCCTTTTTGCCCATCATAATGATGGAAACTGTTGCTGGCCAATAGGAAGATGAGGTGGAAGTCGAGTAGCTACCAGCACTGCTATTTTTTTAAATATTTGTGGTCTGCATTTTAACCACCTCCCGTCCGGCCGCTGTATATAAACGGCCGGACGGTGGCATTGCAGGGTCGGGTGGCCATTTATAAACTGCCTCCCCGCCACCTGCTTGTGCGCGCTCCCTGGGACACAGTGGAACACCGATCGTCGGACGGGACCTCTGTGCGTGGTCCCGATAATGTGATCACTGATTGACCAATCAGTGATCACATGCGGAGTAGTAAGCAAGATGTCACTGCTGGCATCATTGCTTACTACGTGTGAAATCTGTAAATGATCACAGAGGTCACATGGTACAAGGCTATTTACAACAGCCTTGTACCATGTGACAAGCTGTGACTAATCACAGCTCACTCAGTAGTTCTCAAAGGCTGCAAGAATGCAGACAGAGAGAAAGAGAAATGATTGCTTTTACATCCTATATGGGTGTAAAAGAAATCAGTGTAAAAGAAAAAAAAAAAAAAATCTTCATCACTCCCCACAAGTAGTACAATATCACCTTGGTGACACTGTACTGTTAGGGTGACAGTATGTAAAAATAAATAATAATATAAAAAAAGTTTAACAATTATAATTTTTGGTTATAAACTAATTTGGTTTTTTTTTTTTTTTTTTTTACTAAAAATATAACAATACATTTTGGCCAAGATTTATAATGAAATACTATTTATTTTCAAAATTTTATAAGAAAAACACTTTTTTTAAAAAATTTTTGGACTTTTTAATTTACATAGCAAAAAAAATAAAAATCCCAGCGGTGAATAAATACCACCAAAATAAAGCTTTATCTGTCTCAAAAAAATGCTAAAAAAATTAATATGGGTACAGTGTTGCATGACTGCGTGTTGTCATTCAAAGTGTGATAGCGCTGAAAGCTGAAAATTGTCCTGGACAGGAAGTGGTTAATTCTATGTTTAACAAAATTGGAGGTGTGCTTTTAACCCACATTCAAAGACAGAGCCCTTTGGATTCAGACCTTTAGGGCATTGGTTCTCAGTATTGCTTGCAGACCACCATTGGGCTACAAGCATTCCAGATGGTCTGTGAAGCCACAGTTTAATTATGCTTTGGTACTGAGGGCGGCATTCATCTTCTAAATACTCCACTTCACTCGGATCTGTAAGGTAAACTCCAAGTGCCAGGTGAGAAGGTGTTAGAGAACTCTTGCCTAGTGCTAAAGAAGACCACAGGGAGCATATCAAAGAGCAGATATACTGTATATCCCTGTTATAATTGCACAATAACAGCCCATATACAGAGATGAACATTGAAGGTTCATTTTTTTTTTGAAGGTGGTGTCGGGGTGGTTTAGATTCCTAGATGTATCGATTGCTGTAGACAATGCCAGAGGATAATAGATCTTTGTTCAGTTTCAGTGTAGTTATACATGTTGGAATGCCTACAACTTGATGTTTTACTTAATCATTGCTGTATGTAATGGCCTATATAGCATGCAGTCTGAAGTTGTGTTTAGTGTAGGGGGGGTGTGTTAACCCGATTGGACTAAATTCTTAGTATCGTAATGTTTTTTTTTTTTTTTCCCTAGGTTAACCTTGCAGAAAATGATGTTACTAAAATGGCTACAGATTATGTAGAGAATGAACTGGAACTGTTCAGAAAAACGGTAAAATATGTTTTTTTTTTCACCTACTGTTTATAGTGCCAGCAGTGCTATGAATGCTCTCTCCCTTCTTTTCTGACTGGGATTGAGTACATGTGTTGTCAGGTGTACAGACTGGAGGGGGCTTGGCTCAGAGTTTGCTATTCTGACTGCTATCTATATAACAGTTATGTGTCCACTCCTGCAGGACAGAAGCAAAACAGGAACATCACTTTATTGTCTTTCAGCCTATTGAAAGAGCTTGGCAAGCGAAGAGGTGCTGTCATATTTTCTACCTAGTAAAGCTGCACTGAAAAGTAACTGAGGCCAGACGCAGAGCACAGTCATGTTTTGCCTACTCTCTAGTGTGCACTGTGATGCTACTGATCTCTACTTTCTGTACAGCTCTCCAATGAGCTCTGATTGGCTGTCCACTTTTTGCACAGCTGTTAAACAGGGAAGAGTGAGTTCTGCTTGGCTCTTCACTATTTTCCTGTACAATGCTAGTCGTGTGACAGCACCTGTCCTCTTCAGTTTAAGTTCTTAGGGACAGTCTTGTGCTTCAACAGCATTTGTGTGTATCTTTGTTCTTGGTATTGGTTTATAGAAACAGACCCATGTATAAATTATATTTGCTCATCATTATTAGCTCATGTTTTGTTACCCTCGTCTGGATTGCAAAATGTTTAACAAGTAATTTTCACTTCTTACTCAGTTTTCTTGCTGTTTCTTTTTCTGAGCAGATGGATCTGATTATTGAGTCTGACAGTGGGTTTGCATCTTCCACAAACATTTTGAACCTTGCTGACCAGCTTCAAACCAAAAAAATGAAGAAGAAAGAAATTGAACAGCTATTGCAGCAGTTTGTGCAAGACAAGTGGTTGATTGAGGTGTGTTGGTTGGCAAGAAGCATTTGTTATGGCAGAACAGTTGGTTTTTAGAGGCTCGTTCTAGAAAAAACTGTTGATTTAAAGGGAACCTGCTACCATAGATATTGTGTATAGACCACTTTTTTGTCTAGTTGGCACCTCCAAGTGCTTGCATGAGCTTTCCGAATGTTGCAGAGTTCCCTGCAACCCCCTACACCCCAGAAACACAGGGTTTTCTATGGAAACCGCTGTCATATTTAATAGTCTCTACCTTACCACGGACAAATCACTGATTGCAATTCCCACCATCCAAAATCAAATTGCAAGAGAGTGGACAACAGCCAAAGACTGCAAGAGTTGGTCTTCAGTTCTTCATTAGAGTTTCCTGTTTTTCTGGAGAATTGAGGCATTGCTGCATGTCGACTCATGCAGCCACCCAGAAGAGCAAACGAGACAAAATAAGAGTCTATTACATGAGGTGTATACACAGCCACATAGAAACATAGAAAAAATGATGGCAGAAAAAGACAGAGTGGTCCATCGAGTCCGCCCATTTTTTTTTTTTTGTTGGCTTTTATAGAAAAATACTGCTGCATCTACCATAGATATGCAACTGTGCTTTACATGCAGCAGCCTAAACTTTTATCAGAAAATGTAAAGATTGTTTTGTTTGATATGGAAACAAGGAATTAATCATGGCTTGCAAAATATATCTTTGTTTACAGTATATTACAGTAATTTGGGGCACATTTAGTACAAATGCATGATCACTAAAAATCCTCTACTCTTAGTCTCGGTTCACACTGCTGCGACTTATGCAACTTGTGCAAGTGTACAATCCAACGCACACGTTCCTGCATTAAAAATGGCTGTGTGTATAAGTGGGTGCTGCAGTGACCGTCGGCTGGAACCAAACAGAATCAGCACAGCGAGGATCACCAATATGAATCCAAACATTTTAATGAACGATCACTAATTACAGCAAGACAACGTTTCAGAGTCTCGCAGGACCCCTTCATTAGGCATGTGACGATGAAGGGGTCCTGCGAGACTCCGAAATGTTGCCTTGCTGTAACTATGTGATTATTTATTAAAACTTTTGGACCCATATTGGTGATCCTCTGTGTACTGGTCACATTCTCCCTTATCATGCAACTTGTGACACATTGGGATTGATTTACTAAAACTGAAATGTGCAAAATCTGGTGCAGCTCTGCATAGAAACCAGTCAGCTTCCAGGTTTCATTGTCAAAGCCTAATTGAACAAGCTGAAGCTGGAAGCTGACTGGGTACCATGCACAGCTGCACCAAATTTTGCAATCTCCATTTTTAGTAAATCAACCCCATAATGTCGCATGACAAGTCAAAACACTCATTTCAGTGGGTGCCGTCTTAATCAGTGCAGCTCCAGTTGCAGTGAGAAAAAAAACACCGTTTCCTGCACTACTGATCTGTTACTTTGGTGCAACTTGAGCAGCCATAGGCTGCAATATTAAATTACAAAAGTCACAAGGAAATAAAAAAAAAAGTTGCAAAGAAATCTCAATCAAGTCACGCGACTTTGGAGTCGCAGCAGTGTGAACCGAACCTTATACAAATATTAACATTCAAAAGTTCACCAAAGAAACATTGCATTGATCAGAAATTTTATATGAGTACACAGAAAATATCATTAACATTCCTTTTATTCCCTGTAACTGGTTTAGTCATTTTTTTTTTCTCTTCTGTCAATGAATCCTGCATTTACAGCTACAGCATTGTAGACCTTTACCATTCTAGCTGTCCGTTTTTGAAAATGTTTAGGGAAAAATTTGCGCCCATGTCTTTTACAGTTCTTTATAGGTGTGCAGATTGTTTACCTTATGGTGAAGATTAATAAGGCAGAGATCTGGCAATTGTCACAGTAACTCAAATTAAAAGCAAATATTTAAACTTAAGCTCACCACACTCACACATCACAATCTAACTGTACAATCTATTTTAGATCTGTCATCAGCTATTGTGTAGTTATGGTAACTCCAAAGTTGATTGTACAAAGATTGTATGGTGGTCAGATTGTAACATGTATAGCGAGTGTAAAAGTTCTGCCTAGGAGGAGAGGCCACAAGCTGCATACCATTAAATACCTTCTTCTGTGCATTTGGAGGGTCCCCATTGGAGTGTATAGTTAACGGTACATTGTTTTGTGTACTGCGATTACACACATACAGTATGCTTACATACACAACACAAATCTGCAATACATGGATATTTCATCAGTTGTATCCCTTTGGACACCATTCAAGTACAGAAAAATACCTAGTGATATGCTAGAAATGCACGTAGACTCCTCATTTCTATTGTGGACTGAATGGTGTCAGCCTTGCCTAGGTGTCTTTTGCTAAATTATACAGAACCTCCCTTCTGTACTTTTCAACATAAAGGGTAATTGTTCTGTAGTCCAAAGATAAGAATTTAGCGGGATAATTAGGCTTCTTCAGATAACACAAAAAATGTGCACAGGACAGCTCTGAATTTCTGATATGATCAACGCATATTTTTTTTTGCACTTCTATGATATAGCAAAACACTTTCAATGGGATATTCAGCGCAAATAAGAGAAGTTCAATGTACATATACTTTAGAGAATAGCAGGCTTCTATACCTCTACTTTTATACAGCACCTTTCATTTACAGGTAGCCTGTGAGAAAATATGTAGGTGATCATTGCTGAACTCCTTTTGAAAATGCTGTAAGCTAGGTTCTGGGGCAAAATACAGCCAGACAACTAGCATTTTTGGGAGGGTCAGAAATGGCAGCACACATATATCTCTCAGGTTTACATTGAAGTGAACTTGGTTATGTTTTTAAAGTGAACCTTGTTAATGTTTTTAAAGGAAATCTGTACAGAGAGCAGTTCTGCAATAGGCTGCGGTTGGTGACCTCTTTCTGAAAATTTCTGGCTGTCTCTGAACTCAGTACTGACCTGGAATATGCATGTACCTTCAAAAGTCATATAAAAAACTGATCTGCATATTTGTGTTGGGTTAGTGATCTAAAAAGCTTTATTGTTAATAGGAGAGATCAGCAATGACAGTCTTTGTATTTTTTTTTAGTACTGGTAAATGAAATGGAGCTCAGGTTAAATGTACCCTCCTCCATAAGTTTCAACTCAAACACTGCTTTAAAGATTTTTTCAAATGTTTCACAAACTGATGCCTAAAAGTAAAAGTAAGACGCCTGTGTACGCTAGCTCTAAAAGTGTAGTAAGTAACCTGAATGTTTGAAATTCAAGTCATCGTACCTTTTTGTCATGTGGTTCTCCTATAAAAGACAGTGGTGTTAGAATACAGGGAGCACAGTGGCTTCCATTCTTTTACAGCTCAGATCCAGAGGTCACTCATAATATAAGGGTTTCTTCTACTTTTCTTTTTACTACTAAAATGTCTCCTGCATTTGTAGCTTCATAGGAGCTGTGTGCTGTAGCTTGCATTAACAGGTTAACTGACTTCAGAATAAGTCTTTGTAAAGTCTTCCACTCATCCTCTTACTTCTCTTGATTATTAGAAAGATGGAGAGTACAGTCTTCATACTCGATGTATCATGGAAATGGAACATTATATCCAGAGTACATACCAAGATATGGTCAAAACATGCAACATTTGCCACAATATTGCAATTCAGGTATAACTTTTGATTTTATGGGTCTATAATAATTTGTTCATAATTTGCATAGCTGTGAGTACACGCTATCAGGCTTATAGCAGCCATTTACAAAATGGTAATTTGCTTGATTGCTATGAATTACTGCACTCCATTCTATTCTGATGTGGTGCTAAAAAGTTGCTTATAAATTTGGTCAGTATTGGTTTATTGTCAAACGCATTCCCTCTACGATCAGAAATACCTGTTTTTGTCTCTACTATATGGGCAAATATGTCCTGCATTTCCTAATCCCCAGCGACTCAGTAGCTGCATCCAGATGTGTCATTTGTCCTTTTCTATTGTATGCTACCTCAGAGTGATTATGCAGCAGTGCCATGATGATGTGAGTGTGCTCAGCTAAGAACTGTCACCATGGTCTAGATCAGTGTTTCTCAACCTTCCTAATGCCGTGACCCTTTAATACAGTTCCTCATGTTGTGGTGACCCCCAACCATAAAATTATTTACCCAGTAATTATAATTCATGAAGTGTCGTTTTTACCTCCAATACTGCTTCTTTCAACATAGCTGCTTTTAACAGAGTAGCTGCTTTCAACACAGCAGCTGCTTTCTACACAGTAGCTGCTCTTTACACATCGGAAATATGTGTTTTCCGATGGTCTTAGGCGACCCCTGTGAAAAGGTCGTTCGACCCCCAAAGGGTTGTGACCCACAGGTTGAGAATCACTGGTCTAAATTAATGTTTCTCAACCTTTATCCACTCAGGGTGCCCTTGAAAAGTATTTTCATTCGTGAGGCACCCCATTCTAAAGTTTGGTTCCCATTATTGTGTGTTGGGAATGGATGCAAAATCGCCCATGTTCTGGACATGCAGACAAACGGGCTGCTCTTTAACAGATGTGCAGAGGTGCCATTCATTCTTAATAGTACCCCAACGTATTGGTAAACGCTATGCATTTTTGGTTCAGCATGATTTTAAAAGAAGGTTTGGGGACTTCTGTCCCTGCGTTTCTACAGGCAGGGCAGCCCACTGAAATGAATGGACTGCTGTACACACAGCCCGCGCCTGCACAGTTGTAATCCAAGGGCCTGTTCGCATGTAAGATTGGGGTACAGTAAAGCCACGTGGTTGAGCTGTGTTTTTACCACCCCCAAATGCTCTCCCCCTTTATTTGCAGAGTTCGTACATCTGCTGTGGCCGTGACAGGAAGTGTACCACTAGGTGAATGGGGCCACTCTGTAACCGCCCTGCAACCGTAGGCATTGCACATGGCTGTGGTGCTGTGATGCTGCATTTAGGGGGTTAAAACAGGCGTTGAGGATTCAACATGTCAACTCTGAATGAGCCCTAAATAAGCAGGTCTGAATTGCGCCCCAGAAATACACCCCAGTAGTAAGTGACAGGAAATAAAGCTCCTGATATATGCAGTAGCCTCATAGAATGTAATTTAGCCATCTCAGTAAATTTTTACCCCTGGACAGAAGCCCTAAAAGAAGTGACTGCATGGCATTTGGTGTGGGAATTTTTGAAGCAACAACTATTAATTGCTTATTTTTTAATCATCGATGAACACCGCTCCCTTTACAATTTGGTTAAACTGCCACCTCCAGCAGCAGGACACTAGGTACAAAACAAACACTTCTTGAAGAGACATGATATGTTTTATAGGTTCTTTTATATTTGGATGCTAGTTTTGGTCACAAAGTTTTCTGGAAGCCATTGTGAATGCTCCTGCCTTGGAGAAAAACTTCAGTTTCTCAATTTTATTTTTTTTTACGGTTGCCCATCTCTGTAGGCACTGCTTTGGAAGTTCCAGTTGTAAAGTTTAGGAGAGCTATGCCCATCAATGAATAAAAGAGAAAACTCATGTTAAAATCCCTTTCTCTTAGATAGACTCAGCACCTGCCCTTCTAGTCTGTTGCCCATATTTTGAGTGTTTCTTTTGTACTTTTTCTGCTTGTTCAGTAACTGAGCCCTTCAGGAGGTGGAGGGTCTTGTACAGTTGCAGGGGCTGTCGGTAGGTTGAGCTTCTGTCTGGTGCATGGTGTCCTACTCCTGCAGGTGGCCTTATAACCCAACTGTAATGATTAAGGGATCTGTGTCTGTCAATAAACTGAAAAAAAAAAAAAACAATTTTATGGTGAATACAAAAAAATCGTATATTATTTATTTCAGGTACTTCTATAGGGCTGTCAATTTACACAGCGCTTTACATATATATTGTACATTCACATCAGTCCCTAACCCTCAAGGGGTGTACAATCTATTTTGAAGTAAAGAAGATAAGGTGGTTAATTTACTAAAGTGAAATAGTCTGTGCACTGCAAGTGCAGTTGCTCTAGATCTGAGGGGAAGCTCTAAAATGAGAGGATGTTCTGCTGATTTCTGTCATCCTATCATGTTCAAGCAAAAATGCTGTTTATTATTTTCTTTGCATGTGATTGGGTATTCTGTGCAAAGTGATACTTTATCTCCTTTGCTAAGCTGTGGAGCAACTGCACTTGAAGTGTGCAGTATATTTACCTTTTAGTAAATCAACCCCACTTTGTATATCTGTAGCTACAGTTTGGCTTGTAAATTAAATGCATTTTAAAATGCAATAAATAGTGATGCCATTACAAATACACTGCTCAAAAAAATTGAACACTTTCAAAACATATCAGTTCTCAATGGGAATAAAATATCATGCTGCTTACCTATACTGATATGGACTGGGTAATGTGTTAGGCATGTAAGGATGCCCCATCGTTTGATGGAAATGAAAATTATCAGCCTACAGAGGACTGAATTCAAAGATACCCCGAAAAGCAAAGTGAAAAAATGATGCAGCAGGCTAGTCCATTTTGCTGTAATTTCATTGCAGCAACTCAAAATGGTACTCAGTAGTTTGTATGGCCCCTACGTGCTTATATGCATGCCTGACAACGTTGGGGCATGCTCCCAATGAGACGACGGATGGTGTCCTGCGGTATACCCTCCCAGATCTGGACCAGGGCATCACTGAGCTCCTGGACAGTCTTGAGGTGCAATCTAGCTGCGTCAGATGGACCGAAACATGATATCCCAGAGGTGATCTTTTGGATTTAGGTTAGGTGAACGTGGGGGCCATTTAGTGGTATCAATTCCTTCATCCTCCAGGAACTGCCTGCATACTCTCACCACATGAGGCCAGGCTTTGTCTTGCACCAGGAAGGAACCCAGGAACCACTGCACCAGTTTAGGGTCTGACAATGGGTCCAAGGATTTAATCCCGATACCTAATGGCAGTCAGGGTGCCATTGTCTAGCCTCTAGAGGTCTGTGCGTCCCTCCATGGATATGCCTCCCTAGACCCACCACCAAAACGGTTATGCTGAATGATGTTACAGGCAGCATAACGTTCTCCATGACTTCTCCAGACCCTTTCATGTCTGTCACAGGATGAACCTGCTCTCATCTGTGAAAAGCACAGGGCGCCAGTGGTGGACCTGCCAATTCTGGTGTTCATTGGCAAATGCCAATCGAGCTCTATGGTGCCATGCAGTGAACACAGGGCCCACTAAAGGATGTCGGGTCCTCAGGCCACCCTCATGAAGTCGGTTTCTGATTGTTTGGTTAGAGACATTCACACTAGTGGCCTGCTGGAGGTCATTTTGTAGGGCTCTGGCAGTGCTCATCCTGTTCCTCCTTGCACAAAGGAGCAGATACCTGTCCTGCTGATGGGTTAAGGATGTTTTAAGGCCCTGTCCAGCTCTCCTAGAGTAACTGCCTGTCTCCTGGAATCTCCTCCATGCTTTTGAGACTGTGCTGAGAGACACAGCAAACCTTCTGGCAATGACACGTATTGATGTGCCATCCTGGAGGAGTTGGACTGCCTGGTCAACCTCTCTAGGATCCAGGTATCGCCACATGCTACCATTAGGAACATTTACCCTAGCCAAATGCAAAACTAGTGAAAAACTGTCAGAAAAGATGAGTAGGGAAAAAAATGTCACTAGCATCCACCTGTAAAACCATTCCTGTTTTGGGGGTCGTCTCATTGTTGCCTATCTAGTGCACCTGCCGTTAATTTCATTAACACCAAAGCAGATAAAACTGATTAACAACCCCCTCTGCTACTTAACTGACCAGATCAATATCCCAGGAGTTTAAATGACTTGATGGTATACTCTGATTAAAAAGTGTTCCTTTATTTTTTTGAGCAGTGTATAATAGCCCACAAAGAATGTACTTGTAAACTGCATTCCTTACTTTGTGTTATAATTTGTGTGCTTAGGGAAAAATTTGTGAAAACTGTGGTATCAAGATTCACTTGACATGCGTGGAAAAGTATTTCAAAGGACAGTCGGGGCCAAGATGCCCTCAGTGTACAGAGCCATGGATGCAAGAAATTCCAAGTATGTTGATTTAACTTCTATTGTGGTTTAAAAGTACACTCCAGTCAAAACTGAAGCATAAAATTCCCTTAGTGAATAAGTTGAAGCTATGCTGACTTACATTGTCAAATCATTAGCAAACAAAAATACTGTTTTTGTTTTGTTTCTTTAGTTTGTGATTTTACAAAACTATCCACCCATTCCTTATATTAACCCCTTGCCTACCAGGCACTTATACCCCCTTCGTGCCCAGGCCAATTTTCAGCTTTCAGTGCTGTCGCACTTTGAATGACAATTGCGTGGTCATGCAACAATTTACCCATATGAAATTTTTTATTTTTTTCAGAGAAATAGCTTTCTTTTGGTGGTATTTAATCACCACTGGGTGTTTTATATTTTGCGTTATACACAAAAAAAAGAGCAAACATTTGAAAAAAAAAAAGTTTTTCAATGTTTCTATTATAACATTTTGCAAACAGGTAATTATTCTCCTTCACTGATTTGCGTTGATGAGGCTGCACTGATAGACTGCACTGATGAGATGGCACTGACGATGCTGCACTGATAGGCGTCGCCGACTGACGGCACTGCTGGTGGCACTGATGGGTGGCACTGCAGGCCACTGATCATCAGGGAACTGATGATCAGTGCCGATCTCCTCTGTGACAGCTGCCAATAGTGACAGTGTGAGGAAAGTGCTGCCGATAACAGGCAACTGTATTTACTCCGTGATCTGCTGTGTCATTGTCACAGGCCGCTGTGATTGGCCTTTTACCTCATCACGTGATCAGCTGCGTCCTACGGACACAGCGATCATGGAGATAGTCAGGTGCATGCCCGTGGGGGTGCGTAGGAGGGAATGTTCTTGGAGGATGTCATAAGACGCCCTCCCAGAACTGGGTAACTGCGCTATAGCCGTCATTTGGCTACAGAGCAGTTACCAAGTGGTTAAATAATGATTTTGATATTTGTTTACACAGGATAGTTCTGTTTAGTGTATTTGCACAACTAGTTACAGTACATTAATTAGTTTCTAGGATTCTCACTATATGAATTTTCATATAAAGTAATAAAAGAGTTTATGGAATATGGTGGGTTATTTAGAAAATAGAAAAAGATTTATTATAATTAGTTGAATGCATATATATATATGGTTTTTCAACTAAGGACAGTCCATCTGGGCCCCATTCACACTTATGCGATGTAGCAATGTATTCAATACTGCACGAGTTTCCGCAGTAGATGAAAATATGCTGTATTCTGCCAGTGCATACCGTTTCATTCATTCCTTTTTTTTTTTTTTTCTATCAAGAAGGCAAAATGTTTTATTAAATAAATAAAGACAAGAGGTTACAGTATAAAGTTGTACATAGCTGAACATTAAAGATTACAAAAAAAAAAAACAAACAAAAAAAAGGGAACAACCCAATGGTGACAATAAAGGTATGTTAATGATCATATCACAGTAGTGAAACCTGCAGTGAAAAAGATTGAGTAGCTGGTGGCAGAAAACAATCAACACATGCCCATATAAGAAAGATATGTCTTCCCCATCTCATTGAAGGTACATTATGTGAGTTAATACATATGTGTACATGTGTCAACAGATTGCAGTCAATGGTCCCACATTTTCTTATGTTTGGCAGGGCAATCTCTATGAATATATATCAATTTCTTTAGCGGGAGAGTGTTATTAACATCAACTATCCACTCCTACACCACTCATATATTCTGAATGGTAGCCCAAATGCACCAGCCAATAACTGTGAGCTGAATCACACCCAAGTGCGTGGTGACTTATTGCCAAGAGTTGTAGTGCAATGTGATAAAGCAAACAAAATCTTCCCTCACTACTTTTGTGTAATTGTCATGCATAGGACAGCCTATTAAAACGATTGAAGCTGCACTAAACGCAATGCACTTAAATGTGCAAAGAGACAGGTGCACTATCATATCTGCATAGTTGTGAACCTACAATAGGAAAAAGGTACTGCGGTGGGGCGGCACGTGCAGTCATAGTCATGTACATGTGCATCATTATGCCTTCTCTGGCTAAGGGGAGCACTGTGTCCCTCTTCCCCCACACGCGACTTGGGGCCCGGTGAGCATGTGATCACAGTGTTAACAAAGCGGTTATGAATGGATTCATTCATACCAGCTGTGTTTCATATACTGTGATTGGTCCACAGCTATCACATGGTACCTGGGCCAATTACAGCACCCTGTACAATGTGATTAGCTGTAGCACAGATCACTAGTGATCACAGCTGTTGCGAATGTGACCCATTCATGACAGTTGAAAACTGTCATGAAATGTGAAGAAAAAATCCTTGACCACCCCCTCAGAGTAGTACAGTATTACTCTGATGACTCTGAACTACTCAGATGAAAGTATTTTTAACATACTGTCAGCAGTCAGTGTCCCTGACGACAACAGTCATATGAAGACGCTGTACTGCACTGGTGACAGTATGTAAAATTAAATAAATTGTAAAAAAAAAAAAAAATAATTACTCAGTTTCTTCATTTTCAAAAAATTGTGACAAAACAAATTACAACTTCAAAAAAACGTGCTATGCCTCTTACTAAATGCCTCCGACTGTCTACTTTCCAAAAAGGGGTCATGTGCAGAATATTTGTACTGTCCTGGCATTTTAGGGCCTCGAGAAATGAGATAGGCTCTCAGTACATCAGGATTGATCAATTTTCAGATAAATAGCGGGTAAAATAAGTAATGAACACGTCACCATTTTTCTCAGTAAATATATTTCTAAAGGTGTTGTTCACATGAATTTTTCACCACTTGTCGGTAACAGCCCATGCAATTCATACATACAAAGAAACCAAAACAAATAAGTTCAGAAAGTAAGTATGTGTAATAAAATGGAATGACACAGGGAAAAAGTCTGCTGCCCAGCAGTGCCACCAGTCAGTGTCATCAGTACCGCCTATCAGTGTCCATCAGTGCCACCTTTAAGTGCTACCTATCTGTGCCACCTCATCAGTTCCCATCAGTGCTGCCTATCAGTGCAGCCTCACCAACACACATCAGTGAAGGAAAAAAATTACCTGTTTGCAAAATTTTATAATAGAAACAAAGAATTTTTTTTTTTTTTAATTTTTTGCTTTTTTTGTTCATTGTGCAAAAAATAAAACACCCAGTGGTGAGTAAATACCACCAAAAGAAAGATCTATTTGTGTGAAAAAAATTATAAAAATTTCATATGGGTACAGTGTTGCATGACCGCACAATTGTCATTCAAAGTGCAACCAAGTATTGCAGTATTACGCTATATTATTTTGTCTTTCCCTACATTGCACTGAGTGTTCTTGGAGAGTGAAGTCTGATGATCCTGGAGGTTGGCAATTCTTGGGTGGAGTGGAGATCTGGAGGCATATCAACTGGGTCTAGGATCCCCAAATAAAACCTAAAAGGCATTTTTTTCACCATTATCTGGTGAGTGCGGTATATATTGTTTGAGCACTATTCCTGGTGCAAGCACATTTCTTTGGAAAGAGGACTTTCTGTGTTTTTTTTTTTTTTTAAAGATTTTTTTCACTTATTTTGGAGTGGGACTTTTTTCTATCAATTTTACTAATATTTATATTTATATATGTCATGATATATTATTTTTGAGGGAAGCACATTATATATTTTATATAATTTTTTATTTTTGCGATGTTTGAATATTTCTTTTTGCACTCTTGCCAAAATACTACAATGTTATTATTTTTCTTTTACATAATGGGGATATTCTGTGTGTTGACAGGATTTTCCCAGGCCAGTTCTGAAACACCATCCACTTCCCAGGTGTCCAGAGTGGAAGAAGGGAGAAGAAATGTATCAACGGCATCCACTAGGACAAGACGACATAAATAATTTGTGGTTTTGATTTTGTATATATGCAGTGTGTGCTTTCTTACAGTTTTGTGTATTTTCCTGAAAATATTGTTATAACATTTTTTTTTTTCTCTGCTTGCATTTTTTAGTTCTGTCCTTTGCAGTCTTATACAAATATCCTCTGGACTGCAGACACTTTGATTGTTAGGATTATTCACAAAGACGTTAGAAAACATTTAAAGCAACCCTTTGCTTTTCCAATGTTTGCAGAAAGTGCCACCAAATACAAACTTCTGCTTACAAGAAATGTTTTACAAAATCTGTATATAATATATCCCCTGAGACTCTGTTTATCCCCAATTGCACACCACCATTTGTTTCTCATCTGTATCCTCCTATGACAGTCATATGTCACTGCTTTCTGCACGGAAGTGACTAGGTGAGGTGGGGGGGGGTGGTTACAGGTGGAACATTGCTGTTTAGTCTTATTAAGCTCTGTGTTTCAAGGAAAGGAGGAATTAGTTTGGACCAGATTATGTCAGCACCAATATGTTTACATGCTTGTGGAATGGAAGAGTTCACTTTAAGAAAATTTTGGCAGCTGTCTAGAAATCCATATCAGACTCTATCTCTAGGTTTGTTGAATATAGATTGTAAATGGATCTTTAGTAGTTAGAAATATAGGGACATATGACATTGTATTTGCCTTTTCTTGGGGTCCAGGCTCAGGAGACATTTTATTAGGTTTCAAAAAGCATCAGCACTGCCAGACGCTTACCAAAAGCGTATATAAAGCTACAGTTGGGAAGTGTTAACATAGTGTAACTTCTGGTTTTAAAGAAGGATTTTGCAGGTTATCTCTGCATGTGGAAAATCAGTGACTGCACATATGTTTCTTTGTGTACTACAAGCCACTTTGTTCTGTTCATGCAATATGTTTAATATTCTTTAATAACTTTGTCAGACCAAAAATTGTTAAGAACCTCAAATAAAAACCTTCTGATGGAAAATATTTAAAAAAAAACTACAGCTGGGGCTCCCATTAATGTCTCTAGTCTGCACTTCCTAATTGAAGCTTAAAGTGAACCTGTGCCCAGCCCATAGATAGGTAAATATTTAAATATTCTTTACAAGCAATAAAAGATCTTCAAAGATTACAACAAAGACTATTCCATTACAGGGACCAATTCTGTGGGACGGGCATCTCTGAGTATGCTAAAAACTAGAAAGTCTACTTCCTGCAAAGTCTACCATAGACAAGGAAGGCATACTTCACTTGTTGTGAGCCTCAGAGCTTCCACCCCAGGAGTTTCTCTCTTTCCTGCAGCCAAGTAAGTGATCCTACTATCAAGGCTCGGGTTTCTGTCCTTTATATTGTTTAAGAGACCACTGGCTTCTCACTCTTTGATCAAGACCTTTGTACAGGGGGTTGCCGATGTGGCTTCCCCATGTGGTGCCCAGTGACTCAGTGGGATTTGAATATAGTTCTTTCTGGGCTTTACAAACTTCAATTTGAAACCAATTTGAGACCCTTCTTCTTTCTCCTCTCACCCACAAGGTGGTATTTATTGTAGCCACCACCTCTGTGAACTGGCGGCATTTTGTTTTTTTTTTTTTTTTTCTTTGGGACAAGGTTCTCTTGGGGTCTAGAACTTCCTTCCTGCCCATTGTACTTTCTGCCTTTCACCTCAACCAGGACATTGTACTTCTGTGCCTCTGTCCAACTCCTTTTTCTATGTGGCTTACGCCTGGTTCACACTATCCCAGGTGGTTCCGGGTGTGGGAATTACACCTGTTCCCACAACCACCTGCATCATTCTTAATGGCACCCCCACTCATCTAAAAACGCAGTGCGATTATGGGAATCACAAGGAAATTGCATGGTGAAAAGGCCCCATGCAATGAGATGTAATAAACCACATAAGTGGATGAGCAGTTTATAAACAGCTGTGAAGGGATAAGTTTTGGCATTAGTACAAAAAGTTTTTTGTTACCATGAGGAACGTGGGCACAGGTGAGGCATAGAGTTTTATTGCAGCGGAACATCCTTGTGATTGGGATGAGAGTGAGCTGTCTAGAGGTGGTTTTGTTGGTTTTCCTGGGGATTTTAATCGGCACAATCTTATTTCTGAGGCTAAGTGCTTTCCTATAAGCAAATTTGGGCAGATGGATGATGCAAAGTGTGGATCTTGGGATAGGATGGGCCAATGTCCTTTGAAAATGGTTTCCATTTTTTCACAGGTGGAGTGGTATTGTGTCACGAACCTGATGGTTGGTTCGGGATTGTTTTTGGCATGGGGGAGAGACTCAGTCAGATAATTGGAGCAGGCTTCTATGAGCTCATGGGGATATCCTTTTTCAAGGAATTTCTTTTTGAGAACCAAGCTGTGTGTCTGGTAATCTGTAAGTCTGGTGCAGTTTTGTCTGAGGTGGTGAAATTGACTTTTGGGGATATTACGAATCCATCTAGGGTGATGGCAAGTGGAGAAGTGAAGGAAAGAATGACCAGCAGTGGGTTTATTGTAGTTCTTGGCGATGACGGTGGAGTTGAAATGTGTAAGTTCCAGGTCTAGAAAGCAGAGTGAGGTGGGGTCAGCTACATGGGTGAAAGAGAGGCCGATAAGGTTGAAATTGCAGAATTCTACAAACTCCAATAAGCGGGAACAGGAGCCGTCCCAGATGATTATGATATAATCGATGTATCGGCCGTAAAATACCAGATGTTGACTAAACGGGTTTGTTTTTCTAGATGGTTAGATTGGCATAATTGGTAGCGAAATTAGCTCCCATCTCTCTGCCCTGTATTTGTAAATAAAAGTCACCATCAAAAGTGAAATAGTTGTGTTCAAGGCAGAATTTGGTAGCTGTGAGTAGGAAGTTAATTTGGTCAGTATTGAGATAGGAATCTTCCATTAGAAAATGTGAAACGGCTCTTAGGCCTACATCATGGGGAATGGATGTGTACAGAGAGCAAACATCCAGTTTGGTTAATATGCCGTCTTCGAGGGCCTTATTGATAATGGTTTGGGATTCTACAACGAAACCGGGGAATGGGTCTGTTTTTAGATGGGCGTAGGTGTGGTCATCAGATAGGAGTCTATGGGCCTCAGTAAGGTAATCGGTTCTTTCTCGGATTACTATCCCACCACCTTTATCTGCTGATTTTATAAGGTTAGTGACTGAGGGTGCTGAGGGCTGTTTTTTGTGATAGGTTTGATGTGGTATGTTTTTTTTTTTTTTTTTTTTGTATGTTTCCTTCTTACACATCTTAGTGAGTTTGCTGAACACTATTTGGTAAAAGGTCTCAATATATGGTCCTTTGGATTGTGTGGGGTTAAATACTGATTTGGGTTTGAAGTGTGTATGTTTGGTCGGCCGGGATATGTTGGGGTGTTGTGACAAGAGGATAAGGTTGTCAATGCTATCCCATAGGTCGCATAGGTTTTGGAGGGTGGATTCATCAAGTGAAGTTGAGGGCAACTCAGGTGAATTGGGGTTAGTAGCACCTGTTTTGGGATTTTTGGAGTCCTGGATGTTGAAGTACCTTTTTAGAGTTAAATTGCGGATGAATCTATTTAAATATTTGAGTGAAGGAGTTGGGTCGGGAGTTGGGCGCGAAATTTAAACCTCATTGTAAGAGGGAAACTTCAGTAGGGGAGAGGGTGTGGGAGGATAGGTTGAACATTTTTATTCACATTACTATCTCCCTACTTGTGGTTCCCTCCCAGCGCCAATTCCGTTCTTACCCAGCTTTAGGCAGACCATCATTCAAGCCTATGGTCCCAAGGATCAGGTTCCACCGTTTCCTGTCAAAGCATACGCTACTAGATGTGTAGATTTTTCAGCCTTGTCTGGTGCCAGTTTCAGGTGTAAGGTTCTTCAAGCAGGCCAGTCATTTATTTTGTATTTCTTGGATTTGTTTGAGTTTGTTTGATATGTTCCACCTCTAAGTTGGACTGCTTTTTGGACATCCTGAAGGATAAATACTTTATCCACAAATAAAGAAAAAAATGTTTTTTTATACTCACTGTAAAATCCTTCTGTTGGAGTCCATTGAGGGGCATAAGGCCCACCCCTCTATATTTATGATCATGCCCATAGTGCTGCTTTTGCAGCAAAATGGAGGCATTCTGGTAATAGGAGGGTTATCCTAAACTAGCCTACAGTTTTTGTTTGCCAATATCCAAGCTGCCTGTAGGCAGCAATATAGTACCTGAGGATTTATGTCCCTCAATGGACTCCAAGAAAAGGGTTTGCTGTGAGTACAGAAAACCAATTTTATTGCCCTTCTTTACATTTTTTCAAAATATTTAAAGTTAAAACAAAGCAAAAGCCTTACATTACACATAAACACGATGCAAACAGGTACAATTTAAATGCAAGTATAAAAACAGAAGTCAATTGGTAGATTTTGAGGCAGATGGGTATTGTCTCACAATTTAAATGTCGAAATCGTTCCTTGTGTGTTTTGCGTGGCTGTTGAGTTTACTGGCAAGTGACTTCAGCCACAGATATACTGTAGATCTTTAGTTCTGATCTGTGTACTTATCACCTGTGATACACATTGTTACCTAATCCCTGCAGTTGCTTCAGAACATCTCCATGGGCTCTGTGTGGAAAGATGAAGAGAGCAGAATGACTGCACACTTAACCTTAAGCTGACCATAGATGGATTAAAATTCAACCAGCCAAATTTTGATCCATCTATGGCCATTCCCGCTCTTGAAAATTTGATCTATTGATTGACTTCTCTCGAACGGGACTGTTGGAAAACTTTCAAAGTTTTGACATAAAGGAGGAAATTCCTACCTCTATCAAGATAACCACTTCCACACAGAGACAAAATGCTGAACAAAGCATAGTAAGACCACCTATATATTGGTCAGTTTTTTTTTCTCATTCAGCCTTTGCGTTGACAAAAAAAACCAGCTGATTCCCCATTCACACATTTGATATGATGGAGATATCTTCCATACTGAGCTATTGTATTCAGACAGCAGGGAGACTTCCCTGCAGTCAGAATACAGTGAGCAGCATTG